GCTTCGTGTTCTGTGGTTCTGTGCAGTGCTCAGGAGCTTGTTTTCCTGAAGGAGCCATTTGCTAATTATTCATTCAGATTGAGGTGTAAAACTGCATTTGAATTCTAGATGGTATCGAAAACATCTATTTCCACTGCTTTATGGAAATTTAATGTAGATGGCCTTTAAATAGCCTTAAAATATCTCAGCCAGCAATCCCCACCTGGTGGGGTGGTTCTGACCTTGTGGCTCCTGATCTTTATCTGATTTTGGGCAGAGATGTTGTGTAAATATTGGCACGGGCTGTAGAAATACTGAGGCAGTTGCAGTCACCTTTGGGATCCGAGCTTGGGAAGCTGCTTTGGGTGGTTTTATTCTCTTTATGCAAAGCAGTGGTGATATGAAAACACTGCCCGGGCTGTGTGGGAATGTGTTATCCACTGGGAACTTTGTGTTTTGTGTTTGGGTTTCACTCCTCCTTTTCCCCTGGGTCGGTCTCGGCTGAGGGTCGAGTCGAGAGCACAGAATTAATTGTTGCAGGAGGTTTAGAGGGTGGAACCTGAAGAGAGTGGCTGGATTAGGGTTTAGGGTCAGGAGAAGTTTGAGGGAATGATGGATATTTTGACATTGTGTCTAGAAAAAGAAAACAGAAATTGCTTGAGTCAGACTCAGCCCCACCCAGGCTTTTCCAACATGCAGCAGTCAGAAAACAAATAATCATCTCGGCTGAAACCAAAATATTTCACTTAATCTCAAACAACAGATTAAGAGGCTCCTTCATGTGGTGCTTTGAGCTGGAATTTGGTTACATTTAAATGGCAACTTGAAATGTAGTTTTATTTTATTTCCCAAATCACCTCCCCACCCTTCAACTTATTTCAAAAGACTGAAAAAGGTGCAGAATTCAGCCCAGGTTCGTGAATGGTTTTACTCCCTCAGAAACTTAAATTCAGGGACCTGCTGCCGGGTTTTTGCTGAGTTTCAGCTTTTTCCCTGTGATCCTGCAGAAGTTTATTTGTTTAATTTTCTGAGTGAGCTCGATACTAAATCTCTGTGTTAAAGTCACCTGTTCCAAAGTGACTGCAGCAAACCCAGAGTTATTTATACCCTTCTGGGGTCCATTCCCTCACAGGGAGAGAGGATATTCCTCTTTCTGTCTTTTGTCTGCTCAGCCCAGACTGTGCAAATTCAATCCAGTGAAATGCTTCATGCTTCCCATTCCTGAACCCTCAGTGCTGTGCGACCCCAAATTCACTGACATCCCCTCCAAATCCCGGAGGAGAGGGCAGATGTTTCCCCTCTCAGAGCAACCCCACAGAGGTGCTTTGGTGCCTGCGGGGAGGATTTTGGGCTCCGGGAGGTCCCGGAGGAGAGGGCAGATGTTTCTCCTCTCAGTGCAACCCCACAGAGGTGCTTTGGTGCCTGCGGGGAGGATTTTGGGCTCCAGGAGGTCCCGGAGGAGAGCAAAGCAGAGCAGAGCGGGGTGGTTACCGCGTTATCTCCCCCTCCTGTCTCTCGGGTGTCCATCCCTTTGTTCTCCCGTGTGTGTTCCTTCCCCGCAGGTCGGCAGCGCAGCCCCAGGATGTCCTGTGAGAAATCCGCGTGCGTGGAGCCGTGTCCGTGCCCCTGCCCCTGCCCCGGGCAGTGCCCGGACCCGCGGGCGGCCGCCTGCACCGAGCCCTGTGTCA